TGTATGTATGTAAGTATGTATATATACATATATATACATATGTGTATGTATATGTATATATATATATATGTGTATATATATATATATGTAGATACGTGTGTGTGTGTGTGCATAAACATACATGCATACATGCCTATGTACATACATACGGACGAAAGAGACGTGCGCATGCTTGCGCACATACGTTGTTCGAGACAGCCCGTACTACCTGCAGTGCAGCCAACCAACATCTGGCCCGAACAAACCCTGTCAGACTTGTCTTCATTTCGACCGGCCAAGAGAACTCTCGGCCGCAGCCCTTCTTCGAAAACACATACCGTACTTAAATCGGCAGTCACAGTTAGACAATCAATTACAACCGAAACCCATGAACGATTGGCTTCTAGACAGGCAGTACGACAGAGACCGAGACTGGTTGTCTCACCACTATGGCCACAGCTACTATCTACTTCCTGCATCGGTTTCTGCCTACAGCTGCCGCTCGTCCGCAAGGTAAAAACAACAAGAGCCATATCATAAGAACAAACACTCGACGAATAACAAAAGGAATGGGAATAACAACAGCAACAACAACAGCAGCAACCAACACAGCAACTACAACGACAACGACATCGCCAGCGACGACGTCAACGACAACGACCAACAACAGCAACAGCAATCGCAACCGCCACACCGCCGCAGCAACAGCAACAGCCAGAGCGACCACCACCACGACCACCACCACCACCACCAGCAACAACAACAACAACCACAGCCACAACCAACAACTATCAACCACAACAACAGTCACAGCAACAGCAACCACAAGAACAACGACGACCACACCGACCGCGCCGACAACTACGACCACGAGGACAACGATGCGCGCAATGACAACGACGACCGCAATGACAACGATGACAACGGCAGAATACCACCAAAAAGACCACGACCACCGACGACGACTACTACTCTACTGCTGCTAATGCTACTGCTGTGGCTACGGCTACTGCTGCAACAACAACAACTACAGTACTACGGCTGCTACTGCTACTGTTGCCACTGCTACATCTGTTGCGACACTGACTGCTACAACGACAACCATGCTCAGTACTGCTCCGATGCGTCCATATCCTGACAAGCAGTGATAGCACTCTGGAGCTGCAGACAGGACGTGCATCTGCATATGTCCGAAAGGATTCAATGCATCGTGGCATTAGGCCGCGCCTGCCACTGCTCTTTGCAGTTGTTTATCGTCGCATTGAAGGGAGATGTGGGGTCCGTGCCTAAGCTGAGGAGAACACCTCTCGGGGCACCAGGATTCGAAAGACTTAAGCGCAGACTTCAATAGAAATAGCCGTCTCGGAGTCTCGGAGAGACTTCAATTCTAAGAGATCTCGAAAGCTTTTTCACAGCATGGGCAGGTAGCCACGCACGTGATCTCGGTATCTAGAATGCCGATTTACAAGAAGTCTCTGGCAGGTCTTAACTTTCACCGGAGTCACCAACTGGGACGGGGAACGTCATGACGAAATGCCACGACCTTAGCACGCAAGCATTAACGTGCTTTTGCGAGGTGAGGGAATGTGCCGGAGTTTGGGGTGCCAAAATCTCGGCTTCAGGAAGCCATGGTCTCGTTCGACAACATCTCTCCATCAACAACATAACTAAACTTCTAACTATAGTTCCAGTCAGGTTTCGCTTCAAGAAAGCTTGCAGCCTATATACCATCTGGAGCAAGTTGGAAGCGGCATCATGAACGAGCTGCGACTGTTGAAACGAGTATGCCACAAGCATGCAGCAATGGCCGCGAATGTTGCAACATAGCATTCGAGATCTCTCAGTCGAGGTCGGAGCAGTTAGGGCTATTCGATGAGAATGGTACCTCAGACGGGGCTCCGGAACTTGACGATCGAAAGCCCCTTTCTCGAAAGCGGGCCAGTGCCTACTGACTTGCATTTTGGCGGCTGCTGCTATGCACAAAACGGCAACTATGAAACTGGTGGGGGCGAGTCTGTCCGTGTCTGTGTGTATGCGGTAGGATTGATTGGTTGAGTAATGGGTACTGCACCGCCGGCGGTGCAGCAGCCTTGCTTCCAGGCCTAAGCATGCCAGGTGGCTCATCATCCCTCTCCACTTCCACCCCCATGATCTTTATCTTCTCCTGGACAGTTTCTGATGAGCCGGAGAGTCATGGACACCTTCCACTTCCCCAAGCCCTGGCCTTTCCAACCAGGCTTGTGGTTGCGTCCGCCATGGCTCACACCGCCGAGACAAAGACCTAATCCAGCCTCAACCCGTCTGAGCCGACAGGAGGGTTCGGTGTTTCAGCCTGAAGGCCACGAGGCAGAGAGGGCACTGTCGGCATCATAGTTGACACTGGGTGTGAAGGCATTCAAGTACATGCTCGAACTGAATGTGTCGAACTAATGCCGAACACCTTGTTGGTGACATCAGTCGCTACATCGGCGCGTTCATCGCGAGACCCGCCCTCTCTCCCTAAGACGGATCTTAATACCTTGCTTCAGCTGCACAGCTGCACGTCTTTTCTGACCGCACTGGTGCGAGTCCGGAACTCGGGATGCCAATAGACGAGAGCGTGCAACTTGTGTCATGCAAACCCAACTCGTCATCCTCTAAACCCTCTAAGCCTTGTATACCCTAAGCCATGTAACACCCTCAGTCGTAGCCGCTTCAGACGGTCTGGTAGCTCATTCCCAACCTCTTTCGATTCCTTGTTAGTGGATCCCGGGATCCTTTGACCTGCGCAGTCTTACGGCGCAATCTTAGGACAGTATAACGTCGGGAAATGTAGCGGGGGATGGCGATATGGGGAAAGGAAGTAAGACGAGGGATGTGCGATAATGGGCCGTTAGACTCTTGTTTTGGAAGCTCATCCCAGGATTTGCACAGGCTTCGGCTTCTTTGGGTTGCATGCCCTACCCGTCACATTGTGATTGCGTGTGAGTGTCTCTCTTAAGAAATGGCTTGGATTGCTCTGCTTGTGCTGTCGGCAAGATGGCATATCTGTTTTCCCCAGAGAGGGGCGGTCTCCGCAGATCTACCAGATGATCTACCACCAAAGCTATCAGCTGTCGAAACAACAGAAGGTTCGACGTGGAAGGGCACATCTTTGTATTCACAATCTTGTTCGTCTACTCGGAACCAACATCTCAAAGGATCAGTCTTCTTGACACAGTGCCGAGGCTCTCGTCACTGCGCAGGTGAAGACTAAGGGATGTGAACTTGAATCCATGAATTACTGTCGAGATGCAGCCTGAAGCAAAGACACAAAAAGAAACGAAGACTGGTGCCTGACCCCCAGGGAGCCACAAAGTAGATGCCTCACCATGTGCCCACACCAACAGGTGTGGGAAGAGCCTGAAGAATGAAGAAACAATGCCCTCTCTAACCCCTACTCTAGCGAGAAGGCGAAAACCACAGAGATTCGAAGTTCACACATACCCTCCGTAAAACCCTCGGTCTAGCCCACTAGCTTCAAGGCGCGAGAACCGAGCCTCGATGTCGTGGAGGGTGCGTTCGTGATGCCCAGGGAGGGGAAGTTGGAATGAAAGGAGGAAGGCCACGAAATACCTGAGACCGCCAAACTTTTCAATTTTTGTTTGCAGCAATGGCAAGAGTGAGCGGCAAAACATGGCTCCTCCAATTTGAACCTAATAGTTACTATTGATGCTAAGGCACGCATCAGACATGGAAGCGCTTTTGTGCAAAAAGCTTCGCTCATTCTTCTCGCAAACACATAGGTGTCAACATGCCTACGACTACAAGCAGCATGCCTGCACTTCCGTGAACCATGAGAACGTGTATGTGCATATTTCGCATGTATGTATGCAAGCATTCATGCATTGATGCATGCATGAATGTATGAATGGATGTATGCACGTTTCCATGTATGCATGTATGTATGTAAGTATGTAAGTGTGTAAGTATGTAAGTATGTAAGTATGTATGTATGCATATTATGCATATATATATATATATATACTCATCCGATCAGCCTTCTCTGTGCACCTACCTGATTACTCTTTTCAGCATTGTGGCTATACAAGCTGTCTGTTGACATTGCTAAGCCTATCATCAGGACATCGTCGTCGTAGTGGCAGTAGCAGTAGCAGTAGCAGTGGCAGTCGCGATGGTCGTAGTCGTCGTTTGCCTCCCGCCTGGCTAGGACGAACCCACGATGATGTCGTAGTAGTCGTGGTGGTGGTGGCAATAGCACTGGCAGTGGCAGCAGCAGCAGCAGCAGCAGCAGCAGCAGCAGTAGCAATAGCAGCAGTAGTTGGTGGTGGTGGTGGTAGAACTGGTAGTAGTGGTGTTAGTAGTAGTAGTAGTAGTAGTAGTAGTAGTAGTAGTAATTTATCGAAATTCAGGAGCCATACTCTGGACAGGTGTGTTTTAGGGGTTCGAACGACGTACCCGGACCCCGTACCCCGTACCCATACCTGCACTGGCCACAATCCGCCGCGTACCCATACCTGTACCCACGCCCCCATACCCCGCACCCGTAGCCAAAAAGCATGACCAATCTTGAAAAAGGCAACAAAATTCGCTACTTGCAAAAAGGAAACCAATTTTCAAAAAAGGCAGCAAGCGTACCCCTGTACGGAATAACCCCCATAACATACCACCCGTACCCCCGTGCTGTACCACTGTGCCCTCTAGTCGCACACCTTACTGCACCGTCCGCACCCTCAACCGTACCCCCCAATCGTACCCATTGCAACCCCCATCCCTACCCTCACGTCTGCTGCTTCCAAAGAAGGCGAAAGCATGGCTGTAAAATTCAGGGTAATAATTGATTAATAGTTACTAGTTAAAGTAGTGTAGTCGTCGTCGTTTTCGTCGTGGTCGCCGTAGTCGTACCAGCAAGGAGGTCACACCGGCAGTGATATGTGGTTGTAGCGGTAGCAGTAGTAGTTTTGTCACCCACCTGGTACACCAATGACAGCTCCGCGGGGTCCATTCGCAGTAGTAGTAGCAATAGTAGTAGTAGCAGTAGCAGTAG